TCGTCTGCTCCAGAGGGAAGGCCGGGGTGAAGTCCGCCCGCTCGAGTCTCAGTCATCGCCCGATGAGGAATGCCGAGGCATTGCGAGTGTTTGCTCTACTCTTGAGAGGGAAATTTTCTTTGAGCTCGCTTCTATTTCACACATTCTGTCTCTGTTTATTGGGGTGTGTGTGGGTACGTACCCTTGTCCTTGTTCCTGTGTGTTTGTCCCTTTTGTGCTCATTCTACTGAATCCAAACACCTTTGTTTCTGTGTGTATATGTCTGGTTTGTGTACACACATGTATATAAATGTATAAATTAAGGTACCGTTAAGTAAGTTAGTGTGAATCTCGTCTTTTTAGAATGTAAATAAGTCGCGTTTCTTTCTCTCGGCATTTCTGAATTATTTTGTATTGATAAATTGCTGTTAGTTATTAATAAATCTAGATTTCTTACTAAATCATTACCATATCAATACTTTCATCTGCAACAAAGATCCAGGCATCTTTGATGGGCTAAGTATGCATACGGGATAAGAGAAGGATATTGCTCGGCACTACTGGGGCCTGGAGAAGCCTCCAATGAGCGGAGCGAGCAGCGTGAGCAGACAGACCTGTTATTGGGCAGTGCGAGATGGGGGGGTGTCGTGCGAATCCGCTGCGGAAAATCCTCCAATTTTACTCCTGCATCTTTAAAGCATTTTCTAAGATGCATGCCCTATCCGTAAAAATGGCATTTGCTCTGGCTACCACACTGCTCAGCACCAGTTAAAATTCTTCCAATCTCACGCGTGACACGCAGGCACGGGAAGGTTGTCTCTGTATTTAGACAGCAGCTTTGGCCAGGGGTGAGTGATTCCCTTTGAAACGACACCGCTTTATCAGAGCTGAACCTCAGCTCGGACAATGTTCAAAAACTCTGTTCCAGCTGTCGGTGGCGCTTCCGCAGGAAAAACGCTTGCACCTTTCAAGCTGAGTTTTAGTAACGTGATATAAATCCACACTGATGAGGCTGAAAGCACCCCGAAGCAGTGCAGGATGTAGGGCACAGGCACCTGGAGCTCTGCCCCGAGGAGCAGCAAAGCCCTGCCCGTCCGCGGCCCGATGCTGTGCTGGTCAAACCAACATGGGGATGTTTTAATCTCAGTTTGAGAAGGGTTAGACTTAAATTGATTCTTCACTGACCTAGCGCAAGCCAAAGTTAAGTGTTTTAGGCTGAAACGAGGATGAGAGGAATTTTCCCCTGTTTGGACAAATCCGCCTGATTTCAGACAAGTTTTACAGAGAGAAGGTGCATCCCCTGGCGAGGTGACCTCAGCGCTGGCGTGGCCTGGGAAGGGCAGTCGGGTGCCATCCCGCCCGGTTAGGTGGAACATAAAGAAATGCCCTGGCAGGATGGAGTGAAAGACACACGCCTCCACCCACCCCGTGTTCACCTGCGCTTGGGGTAACCACCAAGAGAAACTTGGCAGGTGACGGGCACCGCTCCCCTCTCTGCAACAGGCCGACCATCTAACGTCAGCCGTCACTTGCGGTAGAAAGGGTTGTCAGGCGTTGGAACAGGCTGCCCAGGGGAGTGGTGGAGTCACCAGCCCTGGGGGTGTGTAACAGACGTGCAGACGCAGCGCTCAGGGACGGGGTTTAGTGCTGGGCTTGGCAGTGTTGGGTTAACGGTTGGACTCAGTGATCTTTTCCAGCCTCGGTGACGCTGTGATTCTGTCCCGGTCTGTTTCTTCTCCCTTCCGTTGCGGGTGTATGTTATGGGACTTTGGTTGGAAGCACCTGCAGTTTGGTTTCTCAGAGGTTTCTTCAGTGAGGCTGCCCTTTCCTCATACAAGAAACTTTTCCATAAATTTTTACCTAAAACCTTCTTGTCACTTTTTGTTACTTATAAGTTCCAAAAAATAAAAGAGAGTCAAAGAATACATAATTTTTTAATGTAGCTTTTTATATGGCTGTGAGTGGGGTTTAATCTGTTTATCCATGTATTTTTCCTCTCACGTATTCATGCTCTCTGTTCCTTCCGGTCTTTTCTCTTTTTCATCACACTTGAAACAGAACATGAAGAGGAAGAACACTGCATAAGAGCCATTTAAAAATAATTTATCAATGTACTTAGTCTTCTAAAGAGAATTCTACAAAACCGCCCCCTTTAAATTAAATGTGTAACGAAAATAGTAATTCTGAATTCTCAGCAGTGTTTTCATCAATGCTGAATGTTATTTATGCTGTTGTTAAAGTATATCAACAATCTATGAATCTATCAGTCCTCGCTTAGGGATTTATTGAAGAGCTTTACCGTAGGTAAAATATTATATATATTACCCGAAGACGTAGAACTTAAAAATGCTGGGTTTGTATCTATGTAGCTGGAGTCAATAAAACATTCCCTTAAAATATTCCCTGTCTTTGATCCCACCTGGATAATGAATTTGCAACTGTGCCCCTTCCTATCGCCAGCAGTAAAATACCTTGGGGGTCTTAACCTCTTCTGAATAATGACATTATTGATGTTTTTCTGGGGGTTTCCGCCTCTCCTAACAGACCCGCCTATGCATTTTCCAGGCTTTTTGCTTGAATTAGTTTGAGCCGTAGAGCAAACAGAATTAGCCAGGTTGCTACAAATGGACGGTTGTTCACCAACTGCTTCCTGCTTGCCGGGGAGCGTGCAGCGGGTGATGCCTGGTGTCATTAGGGCCCTATTTAACCGCCCGTATGGCTGGGAGGGCATGTTTGTGTTTCATTTACACAGATATGATTAGCTGTTCTCAGTGTTCGTCTGCCGTAAAACTGAAAATGTGTCATGCGCTATTACCCAGGCAAATGTAATGCCCCCAAAATAAACATGCCCCACTAGTTTGCAGGCAGTAATTGACGGAAAAACAGGTGTTTCCCATATTCTGTGTGATTGCCTACACATATGGCTTTTTATCCTTATCCTTCAATTACTTTGTAGTGTTGGCTCCTGCAGAAAAAGAAATAGTGTTACCGAAAAGGAGTGGGTTTCAGGAGTGTTCTTTGGTCCACAGCCAAACCAAACACGAGCAGCACAACCCTTTTTAGTATTTAAATAATTAAGCTGCAGCGGCGACCGCATCCACTTTAGCCATCAAACTGCGTTTCCAGCTACTCTCATTTTAAAGCGCGGTGCCTCTGACTTGGCAAATTAAAGCCACATGTAACACAAATCCCCGTTTGAACAGTGTTAACGTTCGCAGATTGGACCTTTCAATTTGGATCAGTAAAATAATATCGGCACCTGCGCAACCGGCTGGTTTTATGCTTTACAACCTGAGGTTTTATCAAGCGTTTAGCTCTGGACAGCTGCGTAAGATCCCCTGGTCTTGCAGCGTCAGTAACGGGCAGAGTTTGTAATGAGATGTGGGCAGGAATACCGGCAGTCACTTTATGTAACCGGTTTTCTGCAACGCACGCTCCTTCTAGGTGAACGCCCGGGGAGGAGAAATAAAAGAAGGGAGACGGCGTTGCTCCTCGCGGCTGATGGCAGGGAGCAGCTCCTTGGCGGGCGGGTGAAGGCCGGAGCCGGCTGCAGAACTGGCAGCGAGCCCGGCCGGGAGCTGCGGGGCGCGGGCTGAGCCCACAGAGCAGCCCCAGAGCCGCCGTCCGGCCACGGACGCTGGAGTACCCGGAACACTGAGACGGGCATTGGGTTGAGCTGCGATCCCCGTGCGCTGATCTCTTCCCCCAAAGCAAGTGTCTCCGTCCCTGCACCGCACTGTCCGTCGGAGCAAGGCTGGCGATGGAGGGGGCTCTTTGGTGGAAGATCCCCGGCACCACACTGGCCTCGTCTTTCCCTGTTGAGTCATGGGCAGAGTAACGCGGTCGGGATGTCTTCCTCCTGCTTCATAAACGTGCCTCAGAATCACAGAACCCCAGAGTCCTTCAGGCTGGAAAAGCCCCTCGGGATCACCGAGTCCAACCCTCAGCCCGACTCTACAAAGTTCTCCCCTACCCCACATCCCCCACAGCTCATCCCAACGGCCCTGAAACCCCCCCAGGGATGGGGACTCCCCCCTCCCCGGGCAGCCTGTTCCACTCTCGGACCACTCTTGCTGGGAAACATTTTCTCCTCCTGCCCAGCCTGACCCTCCCCTGGGGCAGTTTCCAGCCGTTCCCTCTTGTCCTGTCCCTGATCCCCTGGGAGCAGAGCCCAGCCCCAGCCTCTCTGCAATGTCCTGTCAGGAGCTGCAGAGAGGGATGAGGGCTCCCCTCAGCCTCCTCCTCCTCACCCTGAACACTCCCAGCTCCTTCCCTGGCTCCTCACAGGATTGATTCTCCAGCCCTTCCCCAGCCTCGCTGCCCTCCTCTGCCCTCGCTCCAGCCCCTCCAGATCTCTCTGGGATTGAGGTGCCCAAACCTGACACAACCCTCCAGGTGTGGCCTCTGCCAGCTTCCCGCAGTGAGGGCTTATCCTTCACTCATCAGGAACGACCAACATTTTAATCTAGTTCAGTTTACATGTTGAATGTTCTGTGGATAGAGAAAAGAATGCTTAGCTTCATCTTGCCAAATCAAATGGCGAGATGATTTCAAATGGCTTCATGAAGGGGCACAAGAGGTGGATTTGCTCTCTGGCTTTTACCTTCTGATGGATTCAGAACGAAATGTCATTACGCAGTGCCCTTCTTCACCAAAAACATTCTTTCAAAACAGTGAGATGATAAAATGATGACATTCTCCTGAAGCCTGTTGATTTTTTCTGCAGATAACCTTAATTCTTTTGCCTGCCTTCGGTTTTCCTTGTGCTTTCCTGGTTATCTCTGCTCTGTCATTATTTGCCTCATTCTACAAGATGAGGGGATGTGACTTTATCTCTTCGAGGCTCCCTGGGGTGCTTTCATTTCAGTAACAGCTTCCTCAGCCCGTGGGTTGCAGGGTTTCACGCCTGCCCTTCCCACCTTGTAATCAACAGGTTTCTAGGGATACCGGCCGCCGTTCAGAGACCCCCAGCCTTCCTCCCCTGTGGCAGATTTTGCCCGACGGCCCAGTTCTGACTGGTGGGACAGGTTTCTGGCCAATGTGGCCGTGGTGAAGCCACATGCAGCCCCCACAGTCAGCAGCGGGTGTCTGCAGAGGTGCTGCGGCAGTTAAGCAGAGAGTTGGGCGCAGAAAAACCTGGACTTGAGCCTTGAGTAAGAATTTCTAGGTTTAAGTGTGTTAGCCTTACTAACGAGCAAGGAAATGGGGCGTTGTGCCTAAGTGCTTGGCTTCTCAAAACCATTGGGTGTCCCTTTTTCATGGACAGCTTTTTGAAGGATCAGAAACAAGGGTGCAAAAACACAGCCGCAGCCTGAAACCTTTACCTGCCTTTTGGCAGCAAGGAAAAAAAAAAAAAACAACAAACAGTCAGTTAAACTCCTAGTGAAGAGAGAGCTGGAAGGTTGGCTTTGGCTATAACAGCGGTGAGTATTCACGCGGGGTGTGTAAGGACAATCCAATGAAATTTTCACCCAGGTGTCCCGGAGCGAGTTACTGAACGTTTACACAAAGTTCGTCAACGCAGAGCTAAGCGTGTGAGAGGGGAGGCCTCCAGAGCATAAACGGGTGAAGATACTTATTTATATTTGCTGAAGGGAGATGAGATTTGAGAAGAGACTCCTGCCCCATGAGTTCTGATCTTGAGTTCATTTATGCTGCTGTAATATACTTTTCTTAATAAAAAATATTTTGGCAGGATTTCTGCTGACGTACACCTTCGTTAGGTCGAACTCAGGACTTAGGGGTTTCGCCCAGGGCTGTCCTGCGGCCGGTGGTACAGTCCCCGTGGGTGAGGATCTCACACTCCGTATGACACGCTGTGTCGATGGATATCTCACCTACGAGCAAGGAGACTTTTTGCACTTGGTCTACAAGAAGACACTTCAGGTTTGGAAATGTAATAATTCCCACTCAGCTACCACACACTGAAAAAACGCTCAAGAGCTGCAATACTGACAACACCCCACCAGATGCAGAGAGATCCTTGTCAGAACGTAGATCCCCTGGAAGCACGTCTCTCTTGAATATCATGTTAAAATGAAGTTGAAATAATATTTGAATTGATCTTGTTTCTGATTTTTACACTCGGGCAGAATACCATGGGGTGCACTAGGGGCTGAATAGATCTTTCACTGTTAAACAACAAAGCTAAATTGTTTATGGAGCATGAAACAATTATCGTTGACTACACCTGATGCTGCCGAGCAAGCTGTTCCTTTTTATTTTGCTATTCTTAGGTGGGAATGTGGAGGATTGGAGAGCGTCCTTTGTGAAGGGATGGGACAACCAACGTTGGGCAGCGCGCAGCTCATTCTCCAGCACGGCCCAGGACGCTGCACGCAGCCCATCTGACCGACGTCCTGCACAGAAGGATATCCCAGCACATAAATGCACGTGAATGAACAAATCATTGAGAAAAGAGTCCCGAGATTTTCAGAACACTCTGAGGGATGTACATGTTCTGACCACCACTTGAGACTTGGGAGTATCAATTGTCATTATACGGACCTATGACTCTCACTTCAATTCTGTATGCAGATAACGTTTCTGCCCAGTTGCTTTACATAAAATGTAAGATTCGAGCCAAGTCGCAGTCTCAGTGATGAGAAATGAGAGGTAAGAAGCCCTCTGTGTTTTGGGTAGCACAGCAGTGGTAGAACTGACGCAGTAAAAACCCGCGCTGACCCAGCGATGGCTTGGCAAGACAACCAGGTGTAAAGGGAGCTCAGGAGCGCTTCGCTAACAGCAGGGCAGGGGGGTCTTTAGGCGTCTGTCCAGAAAATAGGGTTTTGGCAGTGAACGCTGAGAAAATCATGAGGCGAATGCCATAAACGAAAATGATCAGAAAACACACATCCAAGTTTGACTTTGAGAAACCCTGTCCTGTGGTTATACCACGCTGCAGAAAGTGACTGTGGGTGAATACTAGGATGGTGCTGTAGTGACATTTTATTTTCTGTTCTATTTTTTATTGATATTTATTGATATTCTGTCGAGGTTTCTGGTACCCCTATAATTCTGGGATCCTGATAACATCCTCGTGCCTGTTCCCCTCCCTCGATCCATTCAGGTCCCCTTTCTCTTGGGCTCCTGTACCCGGCACTTCAGCTGCAGCGGTTACAACCCCCTCATCCCCCCGGGAACACGCGGGTCCCCACAGCCCTCGGAACCGCACCGGTCCTGGCACGATGTCCAAGGCTGAGATTTCAGACACCAAAAGTCAGCCTTTCACAGTATTTTACACTCCTCGCTGTTTTATTTAAGCTTTCCATGCTCCTCCTGCTTTGGAAGCCAGTGAAGAGCAGGGCAGGCGTTGTCTGACACTATAATAAACAGCTCTGATACCTAAAAGAAACTTAACCAAAATCTCCAGTTTAAAAATGTAAATCTATCAGTGAAATACAGTTAACAACAAACCGAAGCTGTTACAAGGTTCCATTTCAGGCATTTTGGGAACATTTTCAGAGCCGTTTTCTGACCTCTGAGGAAAGATGAAATGGTAGTAGGAGAGATAAGTAAAACAGGAGGAGATGGGGAAATGCAGGTGCCAAATGGAAATATGGAAATAAGCGAGTGTTTGGCAAATTGCAGTGTTTGCTGAGAAAGTGCAACGTGCGGACCACTGGATGTGATTAAAAAAAAGAGAGAGAATTTAAAATGAGTAATTGTACTTCAGGATAGAGATATCTGTTATATAATCAGAGTGGGTCGCAGTGCCAATTCACGCAGATACCGACGGTGTGTCGGAGGTATCAGGGGACGATGCGCATTAATCCAGCGTTACCACGCGGTGGGTCCCGGGTGATTAGCTTAACTGAGAAAGAAAAATAAACGTTTTATTTGCCCAGTTCTCCCCCTTGCACTGGGGTGGGGAGGTGAGTGCTGCTCCTCCCAAGCACACGGCGGGGCTGGGGGTCAGAAAACCCCCTGCTGCGGGAGGAGAGGGTGAGGTGGGGGCTCGGGGTGAACCTCAGCTGTCATCACTAATTACAGGAGGGATGATGGAACGGTGCAAAGCTGAGCCCGGCACAGCTGTGACACCCCAGGGACCTAGACCCCCGGGACCACTGTCCTAGGGGATGGGATGGGAAGGGATGGTGTGGGATGGGATGGAACGAGATGGGATGGGGTGGGGTGAGATGAGTGGGATGGGGTGGGATGGGGTGGAGTGG